TTCTTATGTAAATTTTACCACTGGTTCGGAAAATACCTCTGGTTTTGGGGATGAACTATCAAGAAACCCAGCGGGACATTCTTTTTATCAAAAACAAAAGGTTGATAATATGATCAGGAGTCAAAACCTTATTATTTAAAAATTTTGAATACTGGCTAGATGGAATTCACCAATTTTAAAAATATATAGTCTGCGTTTGCCGAAAATAAAAAGACATTAATTTTTATTCATTTTCAAATATGGAGTGGTCGAAGAAAGAAGATAGGGTAGCGGTTATCGCGTTACACCACTGTGGTTACGCGCCAAAAGAGATTTTCCATATTCTACAAAAATTGAAATTAATCCTACGATTTGTTTATCGCACGCTTCACTGAAGATCAAGTTTCGAAGATCGTAAGAGGACCGGTCGGCCGTCGGCCACACAGTATTCAAGTCTAAATCATTCATACACAACTCATTCGAACACCTAATATTTTCTCTCAGTCTGCATTTATACTTCTCTTTCACATCTTCATCTTGTAACTTCTCTATTCTTATACGCAGGTAACGCAGTGGTAGACACAGATGTCCGATGCCGCCAACGCTTGAAAAGACCATTAATTCGACATAAGTCCAAGTAATGATCCGTCCCTACGTTGGACCCCCGGTAAACCCTTGTATCTACGACTGCGCTCCTCATTCTTTCATCCACAATTACGAAATCTATCATGCTTCTATCATCACCTCTTTCCCATGTATACATATGAATCTTCTTATGACGAAAAAAAGTATTCGTCACAAAGAGATTCTTTTCCACACATACGGTGAGGAGGTCTTCACCATTCTCATTTATACTTTCATCACCAAACGTTCCCAATATCCTTTCATAACCAGACCTCTTCACCCCAACCCTTCCATTAAAGTCTCCTAACATAATAATATTTTCATTTTCCTTACATTTTGTCAACACTATCCTTACCATGTCCCAAAACTGCTCTCGGATGTAAGTGGGCTTAGACATGTCTGGGGCGTACACCCCTAGCAAGAACAGCTTCTTTAAGCCCACTTTCATTCGTATCCATAGCAGCCTCGGGCTTACATATTCATACTCTTTCACACGTTGACCCATTCTTTCTGAAAGGATGAAACCGACACGTGTGTGCGTGTGTGTGTTTGTGCGTGTGCGGTACCTGGTTGGTGCCCGTTCGGTCTCGTCTACACCAGACCAATACGCGGTATACGTGCCATGTGCAGTGGCATCCTTTCCCTTTCGTCTCGCCTCATTTACACATACCACATCTATTCCTCTGTCATTCTTCATTTCGCATACTTCATCCATCTTATCATTCATTGCGCCACATACATTCAGCGTAGCCAGACGGGCTTCCGCAATCCACTTTTCGCCCCTCCGGGAGACAGAACGTGACGGGTGGCGAACCTCGTCGCCGGTTTTTCTCCCGGAGATTCTTCGCACCCCTGCCCCATTAAAGGGGCGCCGGGAACTCGGGGCCATTTCTTTTATCTCCTGACTCATGGTGCGAACAAGGGGTGGTGGTAGATTTTACGCCGCTACCACACGGTGGGGAAGCCGAGTCTATTTTTCGGCTTGGTCGCTCGTTTAGCACCACCCGGGGGACACGTGTAGGGTGGGCCTAAGGTTTGGTGGTCGAAGCCTACGGACGCGAGCGACTCATCCCTCAAGTTTCTATTTGCTATAATCGGAAATAAACCTACAGTGCCTCAAAAACATAAATGTATAGATTTATGCACTTAAGGCACTCTAGAGTAAGTAGATTTCACCCATAAATAAAATATACTTTCAACAGTAAAATACATCGCATTACTCAATTCGTACATTTCAATACATTGAACACTATGAAAACGAATATTCGGTGATTTAGCCGAATACGAATATTCGGCCCATCTTTAGTTATATAATAAACAAAACGATAAGGTGTATGCCCACAGCAATGAAGAAGCCAGCACGCCTATTCCGAGGGTTCAACGAGTACATTATACTTCGTTACTCTTGGAGTCTCATATTCAGGCTTAACTGAGGTGTTTTTCTGTGAAAAAGGTGTAAAAATCAGTGCCGAGATGTACCAAAATACCGTCCTAACAAACATAGCGGAACCTCTTTCTCAAACAGACATTGGATATTCCAACAAGACTGCATCAGCTTATAGGGCACGAAACACGCAAAACTGGTTGACCGCCCATGGAATTGACTTTATCGGACATGAAGACTGGCCCTATTCTAGTACAGATTTAAGCCCACTGGATTATAAAATATGGCAACATTTGGAGGAGAAAGTCTGCGCTAAACCTCATCAGAATTTGGAATCTCTCCGAGCATCTTCGGCTAAAGCAGCGGCAGAAATAGATATGAGTGTGGTGCGTGCTGCGATTAATGATTGGCCGCGTCGATTAAGGGCATGTATTCAAAATAGGGGATTTTGAATAATGTAAATAAAATCGTATTCTAAATTAAATTACCTTTCATTTCATATATAATTATCAAAAAGTGTGTTATTAATTTTATAAAAAGTTTTTGACAGAACTTATGACATGACTAAGTACTTACGAGTTTAGATATGCCGCACTGAAGCTCTATGTCTAGTTATTCCAAGAAAAACAAAACTTAACTCTTGAGAAGATTTATGTCTTAAGACTTAAATACTTTAGATGTTTGACATTTAGTCATGATTTTTATACATTTTGGTTTTATTGTGTCATTTTAATGCAAATTGTTAACATTACCAATTTACTGATTTAGACATAGCATTATTAAGTAATTGTCATTTTAGTTTAAAAATAACCGGCCAAGAGCGTGTCGGGCCACGCTCAGTGTAGGGTTCCGTAGTTTCCCGTCCGTCACATTAAGTGTTCCCACTTATGAGTTTAAAGGTGGGTATCCATTACGTTCGCGCTCCAGCAGCGCTCCGCGCTCCTGCAACTGCTCTCGGTAGTGGGTACGTGCGCGAACATGGAGCGTGCAACATTGCACGCTCCGCGGCAGGCGCTCCGACTTTCCATCCAAGTTCAAAATAATTTTCCTAGAAAGTCCTTATAAAGTTCTACTTTTCAGATTTTTTTCATATTTTCTAAACTTATGGTTCAAAAGTTAGAGGGGGGGGGACACATTGTTTTTTACTTTTGGAGCGATTATTTCCGAAATTATTGACATTATCAAAAAAATGATTTTAGTAAACCCCAATTCATTTTTAAATACCTTTCCAACAATATATCACACGTTAGGGTTGAAATTAAAAAAAAAAATCACTTCCCACTTTACATATAGGGGGGCTACCTTAATAAAACATTTTTTTCCAATTTTTATTTTACCACTTTGTCGGCGTGATTGATACACATATTGGTACCAAATTACAGCTTTCTAGTGCTAACGGTCACAGAGATTAAGCGAGGACGGACAGACGGACAGACAGACACGGCGAAACTATAAGGGTTCCTAGTTGACTACGGAACCCTAATTAATAAAATGTTATCAGCACATAATACTACCTATATCATGGTTATCCCTTCCGTGTAAGGTAAGTCTTTTAACATAGACAAGAAATAGAAAAGGACCGAGTATTAAGCCTTGAGACAAACCCATTTTTACTACCGACCTTTAAGAAATACCGTTACGTATAGGTTGATAACAACTTTTTAAGTTCTGTTACTTAAATATAAAATAACAAATATAAGACAATCACTTCTTACACCATAGTGTTGTAGTTTCTTGATTAATGCCTTATGGAGAACACAATCGAACGCTTTGGACAGATCACAAAACTAGATTACTTCTTTTCTGTATATCTAATAACAGCGGTATAACCAGTTATATATAACAATAATATAACTGCCCAGGCAATTTTAAGTATTTTATAAGGTTTCCAATTTTTAAAATTATTAAGCTATGGAAAAATCAAAGCTCCTATGCTTTGATTTTTCACATTTGACTTGACGATGTAAGTGGATGATATCATAAAAACATTAATTTCTTGTTTAAATAACCATTGTTGGCAAAAAAAAACTCCTCTTAGTCAGGCTAATGTTTAAAGTACCATTTTACAATTAAATACGTTGTAAAATCTAAAATATGAATATGAATATTTGTTTGTTTGTACGTCTTAGCGTTCCTATACCATTTATTCTATTTTGATAACGGAAACGAATGTTTCTGTCAGAAAATGGTATTGTAACGCATGCGTGTTACTGCTAGTTAGTTAAAAATTATAAATCTAGAGGTAAACTGGAAAACCAACCGGGATTAAAATCGGAATTGTTTACCACCGGCGATATTTCCGACCAACCGATACTTACTTTACCATACTTAGAGACCTTCAAGAAATGTGCTTACTCACTACTTAAAAGGCATTTTATCATTTCCCTTGGTGTTATAGTTGATCATGAGCGGCATGTTCTTTTGCCCCCTCTTATATAAAAAAATGGCTAATCCAAAATATATAAAGTAGTAAATACTGAACGCAACTGAATGCATCAAGGTATCAACTACCCAATTAAGGAATAATAAGAAAAAAACATGAAGTTCAAATCTATTTAACTTTATTCTGTAAAAAATATTAATCTAATATATTATCACCCTCCGTTACGGAGGTGGATAGTACGGTCTTGGGGGAGGTGGCCCCGGTGGCAGTGGTCGAGGGGGTAATGGTCCACGGGCTGGTAATGGGGGGAAGTAATTAGGAGGTGGAACACTGACTGGGGTACCAAAGCGTGTGTGATTTGGTGGAGGCTCTCGATACGTTAACGATGGTACAACTGGCGGTACAGTATGCGGAGGGGGTACACTGTGTGGAGGTACAGTACGGGGTGGGGGTATACTATGCGGGGGCACAGTGTGAGGTGGGGGGACGGTATGGGGAGGAGGTACACTATGCGGGGGCACAGTGTGTGGAGGAGGGACACTATGAGGTGGTATGCTATGTGGCGGCACACTATGTGGAGGCACACTATGTGGGGGCACACTGTGAGGGGGGACGCTAAGTGGAGGCACACTATGCGGTGGAACGTGGGCTGCAACTGTATGCGGCACGACCCCAGGAGGTGGTGCGCTGTAAACCGGCGCATACGGCATCCCCGGGTAACTTGGATAGCTGAATCTCAACGCCTCCATTTTTGGGGGGCTCCGTTTTTGTTTCCCCTCCATTCTTCACGGGCGTGACCACCGGCTTAGTCGCGACAGCGGCGACAGGTGATACGGAAGCGGGCGGTGTAATGGAGGGCGGCTTCTTCTCGTTTTTTGGCGGCTTAGACGTTGATGTTTCTGGAGGTGAATCGCCGCCAGATTGTTGCGTTTGCGGGGAATACAGATCAAGTACCTGAGAATGATATATTAAATCAAATGTAAGATGTATTTTTATAGAATAAGAATGACAAACGAGCACACAGTCCGCCTGATTGTAAGTAAATGCTGTGGCCCATAGACATCTACATTTATCATCGATAAAGTATCGAAATGCAGAGCCTTGTCATCCATCTTTACTGGATATTGTAGTACAAAATATATGTTTAGATCTTTGTATGTGGTAGAGCCATACTGCAATTATATTATTGTGGTAGCATATGATTGGAGAAGGACTGCAATCTCAATCTCCGTGAAAATATTTAGTCCTCTGAAAAGAATAAATAAATAAATAACTTTTAATAATAAGTAGAAGCTGACTTCAAAGAACTAAAACGACTTGCTTTATACTCAATGTCTGAGCAGTTAGACTCGGAATGTGAAATTATTTTATTCTTTTTTGTTCTCTGAAAATTTTTATTAATTTTCCTTAAAAAATGTTTTACCCCTATAACAGAATTTTCTTCTGTATTGTGAAGGCAGACATAAATATTCATATATTCATACACAAATTACACAATGACTTACATCAAGACCTGGAACAAATTTTTTGTGAGCTGTACAAACACTTGTTCAGTGCAGAACTCAAACTGCAGCACCATAATCAAATATTTAGTCACAGCCCTACAGAGGGATTGCTAAGAGAATTAGAATTAGGGTGAAAAATGAGCACACAGTCCATCTGATGGTGAGTGGATGTTGTGGTCCAGAGACATCTGCATCTATCCCCGATTAAGAATCAAAATGTGGATGCATTGTCACCTCTGAGAACTAAGACGGAATATCTTGTTTACAGTAAAGTCTCCAATTATCTTCTTAACTAACTATATGAAACATAGCAGCATTAAGTCGCTATTTTGAGCTGGTATTCTGTGAGTGTGGTCCTTCCCTGGTTGAGCCGACCCATTCATACTACAACTATAATACAGCTGCACTATGGCTCTACCACATACAAATAAATAAAAATTATAATTAACAAATTCTAAGTAACTCAAATACACATAAGTATAACATAATACTCCATTATAATTGTTATAATATAATAATAATAATAATAAAGCTTTATTTCTCTACACATTTACAGAGTTATCAAAATAATAAATAAATACATAGAACTATTAGAAAGTTCTTCTTGTTTTATGTAGTCCCTATTGGGTAAAAGCCTCCTCCAATTTGAACTATTCTTCACGGTTTTTGGCAATTTGCATCCATTCTTCTCCTGCTATGTTAATAATGTCATCCACCCATCTTTTCCTTTGCCGACCTACACTTCTCTTGCCAAATGGGCCCTTCCATTTTGTTGTTTGGTAGGTCCATCTTTTGTCCTGTTGTCAGGTGTCCCGGAAACGATGCTGCCACACTCAGTCTTCAGCTTGACAGTTGGCACTTACTGGCAGACAGATCTCTGGCAAAGACTTTGGAGCCCTGGTTCCGCTCTATTGCTTCTTCAATACGAGCAGTATTGACGTTGCGCAAGTCTCGCCGCATGCATTTGGAGATCTGTCTGTTCAGTTGCCTGTATGCTGTCAAATCTGTTGAGGATTGCAGTCTCATCTCTCATCTAACAGCCATGAGATTAAGAGTGTGATTGGAGAGTTTTTGTGTTCTTCTGCGGCGGGTCTTGCAGAACTTAGCTCCGACCGCATGGACAGTTTCCACAAGCTTGTCATTCATATCGTCCACTGCATTGCAATCTTGTAGGCACTCAAAGCGGTTACGTAACTTGGGAGGATACACGAGTCCATTATGACCTTTTTCATTCTTAGGCTGTAATTTCCTTTGAGAATTTCTTTTTGAGCCCAATAATTTTTCCACGCTATGTGCTGTTGTGATATGTGTTGTTTAGTTCGAAAGATATTAATTTGCCTAAATACACATAATCATCAACATATTCAATAGATTTTCCTTCTATTTTGATTGGTTTTTGGAGCTGTTTGTAATTATTTTTGTTTTAAATGCATTCATTTGAAGTCCTGCTTTTTGGCTTTGGGTGTTTAGGCTCTGAAGCATGATTTCTAATTCAGTTGCAGATTCACTAAATAGAGCTATGTTCGTCAGCAAATCGTAAATGTGTTAATCTTCTGTTTAGTATCCATATACCTTTTTTTTTCCATTCTAGGTTTTGAAATATGTCTTCAAGGACGGCTATAAATAGTGTGGGTGAAAGAGGGTCACTCCTTTCCCAATTTCAAACTCTTCTCTGTGTCATTCTAGTTTTATTTTGCTTGTACCCTTAGCATATATGTTCTTTAGCACACTTATGTATTTTTCATTTATTTTGTTTTTTCTCAAAGCCTTCCATATACATGAGTGTGATATGCTGTCAAACGCCTTAGCATAATCTATAAATGCTATGTATAACGGCATGTTATATTCTTTGTATTTTTCTATTATTTGTTCCACAGCGTGTATATGATCCATTGTTGAGTAGCAAGGTCGGAAGCCTGCTTGCTCTATTGGTTGGTTTCTATCTATGTCTGGGGCTATTCTACTTAGGATTGTCGAAGAGAACAATTTGTAGATTGAAGATAGTAAACTAATTGGTCTGGTTGTGGTAATTGGTGGTGTATAACTGTTGATGGTCAAGTGGATTTCCTTTTTTATAGAGCAGTATTATGTTTGAGCTGCACCATTGTTTTGGTATTTGTTCTTGTTGTATGATTAAATTGAATAGTTTCGTCAGGTAACTTACTAGAATAGGTGAACCAAGTTTTAGAGCTTCATTTGTGATTTTATCTGGCCCTGGGCTTTTTTTAGACTTTAATCTTTTTATGTCTTTCTATTTCCCCTACAGTTATATGAGTTCAAATTGCTTCTTCCGGTTGGGATTCTCTTTTATGTTTACTTTCCAGTTATTCATCCTTTTGGGTTTCATCTTGTGATGTTCTTCTGTAAAGCTGAGTAGAAAGTTGTTGCGCGCTTTACTATGTCTTCTCTGTTTCTTGTTTCCTCTTTTCCATCTTGTAGACCTTGTATCCAAGTTTTATGCATTGACAGCTCTTTAAGGGTTCTCTTTGAACTTTTATATGTTGCCATATTTCTCTCTATGATTATTCTTCTATGTCTTTTGTATTCTTGCCTGATTGCTCTGTTTGTTTTCTTATATAGTTCTTTTAATTCATGTCTCATTTCTTTAGATTTTTCTCTTTTAGATAGGAGTTCCGTACGTTTAGAAATCAGTTTTAGTGTTTGATCTGTAATCATTTTAGGTTTTTCGTTACTGGTTTTAAATGCTTTATCCTGTTCTGGACTATTTGTGATGGTTTTTTCCAACTTGCTGATTTCAGAGTTTGTACATTTTCTTTTTTTTATATATAGAAGAGGGGGCAAACGAGCATGCGGCTCACCTGATGTTAAGTGACTATCGCCGCCCATGATCAACCGCAACACCAGTATAATTGCAGGTGCGTTGCCGGCCCTTTAGAAAGGAGTAAGCTCTTTTCTTGAAGGTCCCCAGGTCGTATCGGTCCGGAAAAATCGCCGGTGGTAAACTATTCCACAGAGAGGTTGTACGGGGAAGAAAACTCCTTTTGAAACATACAGTGGTGGACCGCCAAGCATCCAGATGGTGTGGATGGTATCGGGACGATTGTGATTTCTGTGTTCTTCATTGTTTCTTCTAGTGTTGTTGTATTTTCTTTTAGCTTTTCTAGATAAGTTTCTTTTTCTTTTAAAGTCTTTAGCATATTATGTGGGGCTTTAAATGATTTCCTGTTCATTTTATGATACGATGGGAATTTTATATTGTTTAAAACCTCAAAATTTTTGATTACTTTGGGGTTGTAACTTAGTATGAAATCGATTTCGTTTTTTGTGTTGTTGTCTGGAGAAATCCAGGTCCATTTGCGAGAGTTCCTCTTTTTGAAATATGTGTTCATCAAAGATTGTTTTCATATGGGTATTGAATTAATCTTTCCCCTCATGGATTTCGTTGACCATATACGTACTGTCCCATTATCTATAATATCTATAATATTATAGATAATGGGAAGTATATGTATTATCTTATATCTTCATGTTTCGGGTACCCAATTTTTGCATTTAAATCTCCAATCACTAGTAATGTCTTATCTGCTTGTTCTTGCGCTTTTTGTAAATCCATGTAGAAACTTTCAATTTCTTTCTCACTGGAGCTCTCAGTGGGGGCGTAAACATGAATAATAGACAGTGATACCTTGTAGAAGCTCATTTTTAACAAAGCAACTCTTTCTGATATGCCTACGAAGCTCACAATATTTTGTTTCAATGTTTTCTTTATTAAGAAGCCTATGCCATGGAGTCCCAATGTCTCACCAATGTAACAGAAAATATATTTGTTATGTTCTTTTATACTGTACCGTAGTCGTTTAATTTCGGCGAGCCCTATGATGTCCCAGTTAATTTTGGCTATTGCATTATCTAATTCTAATAGTCTTCTCATTGATGATAGTGATCTTACATTATAGGTGCATATTTTTAAGTTGTGTAATTCTTCAGATTCATAGTTTAGATTTTCAGATTTTCTGCTCTTATAATTATTGGTTTTATTCAATAGAGGGTTGTGGTCTTCTTCCCCCACGGTGACCAGCCGGCTTGGGGTTTGTTTTATTTTTATTTTGTTGTGTTGTTAGATTTGTCTTATCGGGATTCCAGTTGAGGGAGGCAGTTTTTAGTTTTTTGAAGTTTTTGGCTCAGACACCGATGATGCTTTACCTTGTGCTGCATAATTGAGTATGCTTGGTTTTACTATTCCTTGTGTATTATTTACCGATGGCTCATCAATATGTTTGGCAGCAAACTGTTTCTTCTTGGTGTTTTGTGCCATTGTTTCTGGTGAATCTACCTTTTCTCTTTTCCTTTTCTCGCGGTTAGAATCTTTTGGGTTTTTTACTACTAACTTATCATATTTCAGATATGCTAAATTTCCCTTCTTTTTTTCTTCTTCCAGCATTGGTTGGAGATTTTTATAAGTTTTTAGAACCTCTTTAGGAAAGTCTTCTTTCAGATAGATGTCTTTGGGCAAGTTAGATTTGTTCTTCTGGATATGATGTTTTTTCCATCTCTGTTGTCAATGACACCACTACCGGTTGGTTTTTATTTGAACGTTGCCCAATTAGATTTTGGCTATCTCTTGACTGTCTAGGTGTACACCCGTCTCCACTATTATTACTTTCAAATAGTCTACTAATTCACACTCTGTTTTCTGTTTCTCTTCTATGCCGAAAAATACTAGATTGTTCTTTCTCTTTTTCTTTTCCATGAACTCTATGTTCTGTTCAAGGTTTGTTATTTTCGTTTTTAAGGTTTTGTTTTCTTCCAAGAGTGCTTTCATTTTTTCGTCGAGTGCTTGCATGACATTATTGGTGACATTGGCGGTTATTGTCAAAGTTTGTTGGTTTAGTTTCTTGCCAAGTTTAGTTAGCAGCAATTTCATACTTTGATCCGTATTTATTTTGGTAGAATTTACAATTTTTCTACTGACAACACTAGAACTATCAAAATACAGTTCCTTCAATCATTCAATATTGTCAGGTTGGCACCATAGATAAGATGTTTATACGGGAAGTTGGCATTACGTTTGTGACAGTGTCAGATGGACGCACTTTTTTATTGTAGGTTATCTTTTTAATAAATGTTCTTGATTTCACTATATACACTATTTTCCACTGAGATTTCTTCGTAATTTGGAGCTATAGTAGGTTTCTTCAGATATTTTCGCAGTTTTATGGTTAATTAACTAGTTTTAATAGCATGAGTTGAATAGAATGAGTTGTGTGGGAATGAGTTAGACTTGGAGAATGTGTGGCATAATGTTAAGAAAGGTTTAGTGGATGCAGCTACCGAAGTATGTGGTGTTAGTAAGAGAACGAATGAAAGGAAAGACAATACGTTATGGTGGGATGATGAGGTACGTATGGAAGTTGAAGCAAAGAAGAGAGCATGGCTAGATTTACTAGCGACCAAAGCTGGTAACTCTGGCGGTAAGAATGATGAGAATGAAAGAAAAAAGGCAGAGTTTAAACAATTAAATAAGAGAGTAAAAGAATTAGTTGAAAGGAAAAAGCAAGAAAGAACGGATAGGAATGATAGAAGAATATCGGATAACTTCCAGGCAAATATTAAATTGTTCTGGAAACTCGTAAGAAATACCAGGGGACTTTCGAAACAGCCTAGATTGAATGCGATACGAGACGAGAATGGCTGTATCCTGAATGATGAAGTGTTGAGTCTAAAGAGATGGAAGGAATATTTTGAAAGCGAATTTATGAGTGAGAAGTGTAAACTAAATGAAATAGACATTCCGAAAGGAGATGAAAGAGATAGGGAGATAAGTATAGATGAAATAATCAAGGCAATGAAAAGCATGAAAGTAGGTAAGGCAGCCGGATATCATAGAGTTTCACTCGAAATGCTAAGGGCTGGAGAGGACGTGGTGGCAGGCCTGCTGTACACCTTGTTTAATTTATGTTGGGAACTAAAGCGGGTATCGGGAGACTGGTGCAAAGCCGTGATAGTCCCAATATATAAGGGAAAAGGGTCACAGCAGGACTGTAAAAACTACCGTGGTATCAGCCTTCTTAGCATTGTGGGAAAACTGTATCATCATCATCATCATCATCATCACAGCCCTTCACAAGTCCACTGCTGAACATAGGCCTCCCCCAAGTAATGCCACAAAGCACGGTCCTGAGCCACCTGCATCCATCGACTTCCTGCATATCTTACTAGGTCGTCACTCCATCTAGTGGGGGGTCGCCCTACACTACGCCTACCGGTACGAGGCTGCCACTCGAGAACCTTTCTTCCCCATCGGTTATCGGTTCTTCGAGCTATATGGCCGGCCCATTGCCACTTCAGCTTACTAATCCGTTGGGCTATGTCGGTCAATCTGGTTTTACTGCGGATATCCTCATTTCTGAGTCTATCACGCAGAGAAACTCCGAGCATAGCCCTCTCCATAGCTCGCTGAGCGACCTTGAGCGTCCTCATACGGCCAGCAGTGAAGGACCACGTCTCTGATCCGTAAGTCATATACCCCCCCATGAACAATTACACAAATAGAAAACTGTATGCTAAGATACTAATTGAAAGAGTTATGAAAGAAACTGATGAAAAAATTTGGGATGTGCAAGCGGGATTTAGAAAGGGAATGGGGTGTACAGATCAAGTCTTTTCCATGCGCATGATCGCGGAGAAGTTTTTGGCGAAAAACCAAAAAGTTTTTTGTGCGTTCATAGACTTGAAAAATGCTTATGACAGAGTGGACAGGGAGGTGTTATGGCAAACGCTGAACGCATTTAGGTTGAGCGCTGGTTTGATACAGGCATTAAAGTCTCTGTATAGGGACTCGAGTGCTTGTGTTAGAATCAACGGGGTCTACTCGGACTGGTTTGGCATCCATAAAGGTGTCAGACAGGGCTGTGTAGCTTCCCCGTGGCTGTTCAACCTATTTAAGGACAGCTGTTTGGAAAATTTGAAAGTTGAAGAATGCGGGTTAAGAATGGGTGAGTTAACCATCAAATGCCTTTTGTACGCCGATGATCAAGTCATACTTGCGTCGTCGGCGGCCGAGTTGCAAATGATGGTTACATTAATGAACAGGTCATTAAAAGAAAGGGGAATGAAAGTGAACACAAGTAAGACGAAAGTGATGGTTTTTGAAAGAGATGAAAGCAAAACGGTATGTGAAATAAGAATAGAAGGAGAGTTAATTGAGCAAGTGGATGAGTTCGTATATTTGGGATGTGTATTCAGCAGGGATGGGAGATATGATAAGGACATTGAACGACGAGTGAATGCAGGAAATAAAGTAAATGGGGCTCTACACTCTATTGTGAAAAGTCAGAATGTGTCAAAAAAGGCATGTATGGCAATTCACAGTGCTGTATTAGTCCCTACTTTAACGTATGGTAGTGAAAGTTGGGTGTGGCAGAAGAAGCACGAGAGTAGAATAAATGCAGTAGAAATGCGGTCGCTAAGGAGTATGTTAGGGCTGAATCTGAGTGACAGGGTGAGAAACTGTGTGATAAAAGAAGAGTGTGGTTTGCAAGATGATGCGGTGACCAGGATTAAGAAAGGAATGCTTCGGTGGTTTGGTCATGTAGAAAGAATGAATGCGGAAAGACTGACAAAGCAAATATATGTTGCAGAAGTGAATGGAAGCGTTGGAAAGGGACGTCCTAAGCGGAAGTTTGTCGACCAAATTGGCGATATACTTAAAATGGGCCAAATTAAGAGTACCCTTAACCGACGAGCATGTATGCGTAGGTATATGGATGTGGAAGAGGTGAGAAAGGTATGTCAGGATCGTGCTAAATGGAAGTCTGTAGTCTCTGCCTACCCCTCTGGGTGACAGGCGTGAGTGTTTATGTTATGTTTATGTTATGTTTTAATAGCAATTGTGAATTATTTTCGACAGAGCTGATTTTATGTGTTTACGTTAACAATACCAGAACCGGAATTGTTATAATAACAGGAATATATTATGTAATAGTAATTACAACATTTAAAATATATATATAAAGTTAGATAATAAAGATATTTAGTTAAAATTAAATTATAGTCATCAAAATACTAATTTTTAATTACCTGATGACAAATGTCCTCCAGTAAGTCCATAGTTATATCCTCAACAAACATATCCCACCATGCATTATGTTTGGGTGTGCGACCATTCCAGTCTACAACTTCAAACTTGCTTAGCTTACCAGCAAGGAACATGAGCGCAACAGCTATTACTTCTGGCTCCCACTGCAGGCATAGGGTTGTGCATAGACTGCAAATGAAAATTATTTGCTTAATGTAAAGTTGTAAAGAGTTAAATATAGAGTTTTCATAACTATATTTAACTCTTAAAGTAAAGAGTTAACCAAATTTGTTTTAATAAATATTTAAAATATTTTGAGAAAAAAATTAAGAGGATTCAACCTATGTATAATGAAATGATAAAAAATTATTCCAATAAAAAGCTAGATTAAGAACAATAGAACGAAATAATTGAGAACTGATACAAACTTCAAATATTAATATCTCATAAGTAGCAACCACTTTAGGTTGGACATTTTTATGTTATTACATCTCATTCAGAAGCTGATTTAGTATAATTAGGTGGTGAAAAAGGTCTGTCATGCTCTATATACACAAATGAAAGCAGACCTATGTTGTCCAGCAATATGACATTTCTATAATGATTTCAGAAAGAAACATTAAATCTTCCATTTTCCTAAGAAATAAACTTTCCCACCATGAAATCTGTCAAATATTTCTTGGCAACGAGGTGGCGCCGCCCTGATAGCAGTAAAAGTCTTTGATTGCCCTAACCATGGAGGTCTAACCTCCATGGCCCTCACTGTGAACTAAAATTGTTCAAAATAGACTATAAATCAATAGCACGCTAATGATATTTCTATGTTATTACATTATTATTTTAATTTACAGGGTTACTACATGTGCAGTTAGCTTTAAAAATTAGTAAATTAGTATTTTATGATAATTTATGAAATTTCAAAACATTGCCACCTAAAATATTATTCTACAACTTACTATGTTTTTAATTATTTTTATATGATCAAATAACAAAAAGACTTAACAACAAAGGCTTGACAAGTGTTAATAAAGAGTGCAAATGGTATTGCAAAAACACAAACACTTTTAGGTTAGGTATCATGTTCACTAATAAGAAATGAATCAACACCTTCATTAACCTATTAACTTATTTAATAATAAAGCTATACTCACTCACTGTACAAAAAGGCTCACAGTGCTTCAGTGACTAATTACACTGGATCTCTCACCCATTGGACCAGAGCACAACAGTGCAAGTACTCCTATTTGTCTACCTAGCCAGATAGACTCCTAGGTAAAAAAGTAATCATATACTTAGTAAATATGAACTAGTATTATGGACTTTACCTGTCATTCACAAACGTCCACGCCATCTGTACCATCTTCTGCAACTTGGCTCTGTCTCCTTTCAGACACTTGGCATATTTCAATAGATATCCATAAGGATGTTCAACCTGCAAGTCGAACTTTATTGTCTGCAACAAAATCCTTTCTAATGTCATCACCTCTTCTTTGGGATCCTCTCCAAAAGTGCTAAATTTCTGATCTGTGAGCAAAGGCTTAGCAACTTTAATTATATCTTTGCACTTTTTTGGAGTCTCTTCTACTTTTCCAGCCAAAAATAGGCAGCAGCATGCAGTGATATACCTTGGGAATGTTTTGAATGAATGAAACATATAAAAACGATGGAAGTAAACAACTCCCGTTGCTACTGTGTTATAACCTAAATCCATCTTTGATCCCGTGTCAATAATAAACCTTGCGCCTTCTTTACGGTAGCGATTTTCAGTCTCGTTGCTGATTCCATCGCGAAATGACGGCGTGTTTTGCAAATCCTTTTTGTCGTAATACCAATAAGGCATTATTATTTTTAAATCTAAAATAAAATAAAAATATCAACAATTTGCCCCTGCTCAACCATTGACATGTCAACAGTCAAATGTCAAATAAGGATTATTCGATAGTTCGATACAAGTAAATATAAGTTAGTACTCGATACTTTTCTTTCGATACCAAGTAAAATTATAATATTTAATGCGTTCTTTCCGAGTACCGTTACCGAGTAGGTATCGAAAAAAAAGTACATGTATTGAATCAAATCACGGGCTCATGAGGGCTGATTATATATAACAAGTACAAAGAATTTTCAGGTTAGACGTACACAAGAATAACACTTGCTTTTTTAACCTCTTGTTAAAATATGCCGTGATCACCACGAGATCAAGCGTAATAACGTACATCTAGATATATTCGATAGTAGCCTGGTTAGATTTAAAAGAAATTTACGTGTTTCTCTTAACATTTAATGTATTTGTTATCTGTTTTATTTTTGCTAAGACTAAGATTATACTGCAGTTATATTATTATGCTGTGTACACTTTTTTTTGGATTGTAGTTTAGATCAACACAAATATACTTTTAATTTTAGACCTTTATATAACTACTGTCTGTTTGTGTACCTTATTCAATAAAATAAAAAATATCTATGGGGCTGATAATCTTCCACTTACCAGATGTCTCGCTAGTTGTGACTGAGGTAAAGTTTTTTGTTACACAATATCAGTTAATTAAAAAAATATATTTTAATAATAGTTTATCAGTTTCTAGAGATTTATATTACACAAAAACAAAACAATGTATGTGGTTTGATCTTTAATTTTTTGCACATTTTAACAATTTTTTTTATTTTACACTTTTAGTTATAAAGTTTGGTTTATTCATTTCAAATCTAATTAATAAAAAATATAATTAATAATACAGAAAGAAACATTAAATCTTCCATTTTCCGAAGAAATTAACTTTCCCGCCATGAAATCTGTCAAATATTTCTTGGCAACGAGGTGGCGCCGCCCTGATAGCAGTAAAAGATTTGGATTTCCCTCACCATGGAGGTCTAACCTCCATGGCCCTCACTGTGAACTAAAGTTGTTCAAAAGGACTATAAATCAATAGCACGCTACAGACTATAAACTATAAATTTCTAACGCGCTATAACATAGCATATTTATAAGAAAGTGTGTATGAACCCGGCAAGCGCGTTAAGTTTAGCAGCACGCTATATCTCGGAACACGCTACATTACGTGTCGTTCATTGAATAGACCGCGTGCTATATTATAAGAACATTATTTCGTAATAGGTCGCATTTTAGATTAAAATAAAATAAAGTGGTAAAGAGAAATCAATGAACGCTCTTTCAAACTTTTCAGGCTTATGACTTTCAGACTTTTAAAATAAAATAAAATAAATAATTTTTATTATAATTTATGTAAACGTTATTTTAACCTTAATATAAATTATAAATCAATTAAAGTTGTATTTAAAAGTTTATTGATTGTATTTACAAAAATCAACTATTTACAAACACTATTATATACCCCTTTGTATCTATATTTTATTTACATTTAAAACATTAGTTAGGCTTCTTTTGTAGCAGACAACAGTGTCCTTTGATCACTTATAAATATACAGTGTACACTAACTAAACAACGTCTAACAATAAATAGTTCGCGCGCGATGAATAGCGTGCTGCTAGATTAAATTTGTGTCACACGTCTCCCCAACTCACTCCCAACAGCGCTGCTGCTAGAACTAATTGCCACTTGATATGAATAGCGCCAAAGCGTCATAGCACCATAGCGCCATGGCGACTACTTACATAGCACGCGCTATGCGTTACGGAGAGATAGCGCGCTATAATATGGCGCTATGCGCTATATTAACCACCATTACTGTGAACGCATCATTGCACTGCGAATATACTATGTCGGTGATCCAAATATTTAGAACAATCATTATCTCTTCATAAGCGTATTTGTTTAAACTCTTACACAATTTTTTTTATTTTGGAATTGTAAAAAAGTATCGATATGAGTAAGTATAGATACGTTTGTAGTATTCAAATGAGTATTATCGCAAAATGATTTAAGTACCACTCATATCAGTAGGTGTTGATATTTTGGTGGTATCGGAACATCCCTAATGTAAATTTATCAATGTCAATGTTGCCAGTTGCGGTCTTTGTTATAACATTGGCTATATAGGACCTTTAGCCAAAAGAATACATGCAACCCTCACAATACATTTCACAAAATACAAATCAAACATAAAAAATATATAACATTGGCTATATAGGACCTTTAGCCATTGACATTGTGCTGGTTCTTTTCTCGTTCACAAACTAAGTATAAGCATTTATTAGCATGATACCGCGGGGAGTAGGACTGATGATATTGTAAGTTTTTATTTTTAGTTTTTATTATATTTTTTTTAATTTTGTATATATATTTTAATGTTATGTAAAAATAATATGTTGTACAATAAAAATAGCATTATTTAAATGTAAATATCATAAAAACTCACACCTTGATACGCCACGCTGCGATGATTTTAATTTCTTGATTATTATTTTATTTTTATTGACAGTATCCCAAGACAATATAACTCCAGATTTATATCACCATCGTACACTTGTTTTATTGTTCCCACCAATCGTTAAAATGCGCAGACATTTAATACACAAAACACACCACTTTCACAGATCAATATATACTATAAACCATATTAGTGGCTATCTACCCTACCCTACCCTTCTACTACCTACCTTAGTCGGTAAATTTCCCGCCAAAACGCTCGATTTTTATTATAATGTTAGGAGCTTGAGGTTCGTGACAATAAAAATTGCCGATAGAATTACCTAAATTAACACTTTAACTCACTTTACACTAATTAAAGTTAAAAACACTAATAATCACACTGATTCACTTTTTTCCGCTCCGAAGCTTCGCTTGTCTCGCCAACCTCAATACTTCCCCGATCGTATCTTGCAGCGTCTATTTATATAAATTAGCACGGAAATATCCAGAATATTCAAGTAAACACGCGCAAGGTACCGAGAGTTCAAGTTTCAACTAGGCGCTAGTGCCGTCGACTAAGGCGCGTAACACTGCCCCCTCCTAAGACATGCTCGTCCCGAGCATTATCGGCCCCATAATAACGCGCCAGGCGATCCACATGGACGATCTTAGGAGTCCCTCTTGCGCCTTTCTGTATCCGGTAGGTTACATCGTTGATCCTGGTCACAATCCGGTACGGGCCATCCCATTTAGCTTGAAGCTTAGGAGATTTCCCTTCGCTGCGGACTGGATTGTGCAACCACACAAGTGAACCTTCGTCGAACCCTTTGTTGTTCATTTTGCGGTCGTACCGGGTTTTCATCTTTTCAGACATTTGCTGGCCCGATTGTCTGACGTGCTCATAAACGTCATTCATTTTGTTCCGCAAGTCATTTGCATAATCGGTTATACTGCGTGGAGCATCAGGTGGTATCCCGGTGATCAGGTCTGCAAGCAGCCGTAATTCTCTTCCAAAGTTTGCGAAAGCTGGTATCACTGCTGTACTGTGCTTTCGTGAACAGCGCTTCGATATGACAACAAAAACGGTTGTATGTGCTTGTCCCAATCTCGTTGCCGATTGTCTACAACTTTTGCTAGGTACCTCTCCAATGTCTGATTAAATCGTTCTACCATTCCATCAGATTGCGGGTGATAAGAAGTCGTTCTTGTTTTATGAGTACCCATAACTCGGCAAGTTTCCTGGAATATTTGAGACTCAAAATTCCTTCCTTGATCGCTGTGAATCTCTAAAGGTACTCCAAAACGATAGAAGACTTCATGAACTAGTTTATCTGCAACTGTTGAAGCTTCTTGATTTGGAATGGCGAAGACTTCTGGCCACTTAGTGAAGTAATCCATCACAACCATGAAATACCTGTTACCGCTTTCACTCTCCGGAAACGGCCCCGCCACGTCAATGGCTATTCTCTCCCATGGTGCACCAATATTGTACAACTTCGTTAACCCTTTACGGCCGCACAACTTGTACATTTGCGACACCAGTCCTCGACATCGTTTCGACAGTGGACCCAGTAAAACCGTTCTCGGATCTTCAGTAGAGTTTGTTTAACTCCCAGATGGCCTCCTGAATAATCATTATGGTACAGCTGTAGAACATCCGGTACTTTAGCTTTAGGGACAACCATTTGTAAATGACAGCTGTCTCCCAGAACATTTTCCCATTTACGGCACAGAACTCCATCCTGAAGCAGCAAGCTGTCCCACTGGGCCCAATAGCTTTTAGTGGTCGAACTCATCGCTGAGACGTCGCCCCACTTGGGCTTGGGAGCACTGGCCTACATCCATTCCAGGATCGGCTTGATGTCCGGATCTTCCTGCTGTGCACGTTGTAAGCTGTCCTTCCACTCGTTGCTGAGGTGGTCTGCCCTGAGCATCCTCACGGATACCACTTCCTTACTCTCTTGCCTAGTACAATGTTTGCAATCTTCAGGACAAGGTCTTCTTGACAATGCATCTGCGTTGCCATGAGATTTCCCGCTGCGATGTTCGATCTCAAAGTCCTATTCCTGCAGTAGTTCAATCCACCTCGCAACTTGTCCTTCTGGATGTTTACACTGCAATAGCAATTTTAGTGCAGCATGGTCAGTTCGTAAGTGAAATTTTCGCCCCAAAAGATATTTGCTAAAATGCTGCAACGACTTTACCACAGCTAGCAATTCGCGTCTTGTGACACAATAGTTCCTTTCCGGTTTTGACAACGACTTGCTGAAGTACGCTATCACGACCTCTTGGTCACCATTACGTTGAGACAACACACCGCCAAGTCCTATATCACTTGCGTCTGTGTCAACTATAAATTCTTTGCTTGCATCAGGGTATCCCAAAATAGGTGTTTTGCACAGACGGTCCTTGAGCTCCTGGAATGCGATATTACAACTGTCATCCCAGCAGAAATGTCGCTTCTCCTCGGTTAGCTTATGCAGAGGTTTGGCTATATCTGCAAAGTTCT